CCCCAAAACCCCAAAACCCCAAAACCCCATATATGACTATTTGCAATACAAATTTAAATTGAGAGAATTTATAATAAAAGTGATTATATTTTAGAAATGTACGATGCGACTAAAAAAGACAACTTGAAACTTACTGGTCTTAACAACCAGGTAGTCGAAATGGAGTCTGATTTCGAGGAGATGATGAGGATGAGAAATGAGGCTAAGAAAAGGCTCGAAGAATAATTCAAAGATGTTTACCAGTAAGTTAATTTCATATGTAATTTTATCTTAGAAAGATCAAAGATAATAAGCAACATACTATCAATGAAGGTAGAAAGGTGAATGAATCATTGAAAAAGTTTCAAGATAAATTTAATGAATTGATGAACTAGCTTTCTTAAGAGCTGACTGATCAGATTAAATTTGAAACAGATTATATGGAAAGTGAGAGAGTAAGAGGCCATGATCGTATGCAGCATTTAGAAGATCTGCTTAATCAAGAAAGGCAAGATCGTATAGACTCTCTTGAGAATCAACTGATGCCAGTAAGATCTAATCTCAGAGCAATCGAATCAGGAACTAATTAAGAAAGAACTGCTAGAGTTTAAAAAGAGAGAGAAATTCTAGAAAATCTGCAAGAGGAGAGTTAAAAAATTGAAAATGCTATTAATGTTGAGAAAGATGAGAGACTGGAGAAATAAGGAGAGTTATATAACAAAGTTGCTAAGGAAATTGAAAGAGAGAATATGTGGATTGATAGGTTCCAAAGAGACACTATGTCTGAATTCCATAAGGATAGAAGGGATATTGAGAAGGAAATGGATAATAGATTTGCTCATTAGGATGAGATAGTTAGAAACATCCAACATTTCATTAGTACTTTTCAAAAAACTCTCAAAGCAGTTGGGAACAAACAGTGAAATTTGCAAGTACACTTGTGAAGATTAATGCAAAATTAATGATTTAGTTGTTGATGATTATAAATCAGTTAGCTTTAAATAATTAAAATTTATTTGTAAATGTCGAGATCTCTCTCCACTACACATAAGAATGTTAACTTGAACTCTTATCATTATTAGTCATCATCTATCGTCAATCACAATGGCAATCAAGCACCTCATGGAGGTAGTGGTGTATTTCAGAATCTTGGTAACTATAACGGATATCACAAGAAATAGCAGACAATCAGTCATCCATCAAGCACTGTTCTTGATAATTCGATTGAAATCATTAAAGGTACAGCAAATGCAAATAAATTTTATATTTAGATAAGCTTTATTGGTACAGTAACAGATTTCCACCCAAAAATATTTCAGACTCATTCTTCTTCAATATCGATGAGGTAAGTCAAGAATTAATTGCTTAATTTGGTAAAAATGTAACATATAGATTCTTGTTTATAATGGGTATAATAAAGACTTCGGTCCATTGAGTTTAGCTTAAGTTCACAGATACTGCACTGAACTCAAAAGAATCATGAAGGATGAGAAATATTGAGAAGTTAAAATCTTTCATCACTGCAGTCCACACTATCAAAAGTAATCAAACGCCTGCTTTTTAATGGGGGCTTTCTTAATTGTATGCTATGGAAAATCAGCTGAAGAAGCATTTCATCCATTCAAGCATCTCTAATTAGTGCCATTTAGAGATGCAGGAGAGGAACCTTGCAATTATGAGTGCTCAGTCCTCGATTGCCTGAGGGGTTTGGAGAGAGCAATATCATACAGCTGGTACAATTACCTGAAGTTTGATTATAAGGACTATGAGTTTAATCATAAGCTGGATAATGGCGATATGAATTGGGTCGTGCCAAATAAAATTATTGCCTTGTCATCACCTACTGACATTAAGGGCGAAGGATTGCCCCCTTCACACTTCTTGGAGAGTTTTACTAAAATGAGAGTGAAAGGTGTAATAAGGCTCAATGAATAACTGTATGATGAGGCAATATTTAGAAAATAAAACATAAATGTCTATGATATGGAGTTTCTAGACGGTTCCTGCCCTGATGATGTAAGAATTAAATTGGTGTTGAAATCTTTTAGAATATTATTCAGAGTTTCATTAATATTGTTGACTAAGAGGTAAAACTTGGAGGAGCAGTTGCAGTTCACTGTAGAGCAGGATTGGGAAGAACAGGCACACTTATAGCAGCATACATCATGAATAAATACAACTTTGAACCAAGAGCTTTGATAGGCTGGCTGAGAATCGCTAGACCAGGCTCAATTATAGGAATTCAATAACAATTCCTGGTTGATAGCTTTCAAAGAATCAAATAACTGAATGGATCTACATCTTCTCTAAGCACAATAAATTCAATGTTAATTAGATAAAGCAAAGAAGAACTTGTCAAATCCGTTCCAGTGAGAGGATATAGTGGAATGAGATAGTTGAATGGGAGACCTCTAGTAGCACCTTAAATTTTCAAAAGAGATGAAAATATTGAGCAAGCATAATTTGGCTAGGTCAAGATTCAAAATTACTTCACTGGAAAATCTACCCAAGGTGATCAATTAGTAGAAAGAAGAAAAAAGAAACTCACATCATATATGGGTATGATCGATTAGATTCTTGTAAAAGATAAGTTGAGATCATGATTAGACGATTAGCTCAGAATAAAGGTAAATGAATGAGTTAAATGAGCTTTAACCTATATGAGACGTCTTCACAAATTATAATTGAGTAGTAGAGTGTATTATTAAAATTATTTGCAATAGTTAAATAATTATCAAACGATCAACTAGTTATATTTATATATAATGTTTATTTTATTAAGGAGATTCTCAGAAGAAACTGATAATTGGAAAGGGTTATATATTTCTCTTCGACGAAAACTTAGGCCTTGGCTTTTTAATGTAATTTTCATTGTGTTGAAACTCGTAGTCTTGATTATTTCTTTAACCTTCATCTATGTTTTAATCATTAAACTCAGCTGAGTCGAAATCAACTTCAAAGCTTTCATTGTTAATGTGCGAAATCATGTACCTGTTTTAATCTATGTGGCTTCTATCCATTGCACTTACTTCATATATAGTCGCATGCTTAAGTGTGACTAAGTTTTTATTCAAGTTTTAGATATTATCATTCATGCCTAGGACAGCCATTCGTCTTCTCCGATCCATTAAGTTACTTTTTTAAAGATTTGGTGTGAGCATAATATTCCCGCCCTTAACTACGCCTAGTATCTGACTTTTTGGTCCAGTGCTCTTTTTTCTAGGAACCAAAAAATTACTGTATAGATCATCATTCTGATCATCTTCTCCTTCTCCTTCTGCCTCTTCATCTTCTTCATCATTTTAGATTAAACCACTCCGGCTCTTATTAACATCTCGGCTCTTTTTACCTTTACGCTTCTTCCTTAATGTACCTTGTTTTCCTCTATATTTCAATTTTTATGGTCTTAATAAAGGAGTCTAGCATTGACTTCCCTTTTCATCTCCTCCTAACCCATGCCTCTTAGAAACTATTCCGGGAGTCTGTGGTTAATCCGGATCTAAATTTCTTTATTTTGTAGAACCTTATCTAATAAGGTCTTCCCTATCTTAATTATTATTTTTCAAGCTTAGTTATTTTTGTGTTTTTAGATGCGAGTTTCGATTTTCAATATCCTAAAGTGTGCATTAATACTAAATATTTTATACCTTTTAGCTCATCATCCAATCTAGGACTGGCTTAATGCTAATTGGATTGATTTGTTCTAAGACAGACTTTAAGCCCTTTCTGAAGTAGCTATAATCAGGTTTTTGCTCAAAATCTAGATGTCTCACATAATTAAACAACTAAGAAAAGATTTCTATGTAAAACATAAATGAATAACTTTTTTACTTGGAAGATCTTTGCATAACTCATCAGGTTTTATTTTTATTTTTTATTCCTTTACTATAGAGGTCTAGAGTGCCAGTGAATTATTTCCTAGACAATTCAGCCAAGGAAGATAGCCCAGAGAAAAATATATAAGGAGATAAATTAGAGACTCCATGTCATCTCATCTACTTAATTCTATAATGATTAATCTTAAAATATTTACCATAATTCAAGAAGCTGTTCACACTAGCGAAAATTATATTACCCGTGAATGGAAGATCCATTTTAAATTATACATGTGACCCATCAGGACTTTTGTATTTTCTTGATACTCCGAAATCAATTAAGTATAGCATTTTCTGTTTATTTGATTAGGTGTTGGATGAACCGAGCAGAATGTTGTCTGGCTTGAGGTCAAGATGAATATAGCCAATGTTATGAAAATTCTCAAGTCTTTCTAACTAGGGTAAGATTATAGTTAATTAAGTTACCAATTGCAGTCCAATCAAGCATACTGTTTCCATGCTGAATGGTCCCTCTCATTCTTTCAATTTATCTTTTAGAGTTGTCCCTAACAGTTCAGTGACAATATAATTTTATGTATCACTGATTCCATATGATATCAATTTCGGAAATCCTAATACATCATTTGAAATGAGAAATGCAAATAAAGATGGTTGATTTACCTGGAAACTTGAATTTATTCAGTGTGTCCATGATTTAATACTCTGATTTAAAGTTCTTAATTCTTTTATTCTATTAGAAATTATACACCAAAAGCTTACATATTTTACAGCAACCATTTCATTAGTAGCTTTGTCTATGGCTTTATGTACTGAACCGTAGCCTCCCTGACCAAGATCCTCAATTATGTAGAATCTATTTTTTATTACCTTTCTATGAGTTTTCATTTTTAAGTGAAATGAATATTATGACTTTTAATATTTTAGAATAGATTGAGTATTAATTTTATAAAATTCCTATAAAAAAATACAGCATTTTTAAACAATATCTGAATCCCTTCAATTGTAATTTTGACATAGGCATGGGGTTTTGGGGTTTTGGGGTTACCTAATGTACATATTCCTCATTATATATTA